TATTTTATTTTTTCCAGAATACAATGGCAAAACCAGTGCTGCAGAAGCCAGCAAGCCATGTTGTTAAAGAACCGGCAGTTTCTCTGGCAAGAGATGACGACAGAAAGGGAAGTCCCTATGGGCAATGGGTTCCTGTCAAGAAGGAGGAGAAGAAAACATTTTTAAACTTCTCACCTAGAAGTACGCTGTTCCGGGCACGCTAGCATATTTTTGTTGCTGTCTCCAGCTGCAGTGTTATGCATACTTCAGAAGTGAGATCTGAAATTTTCTGATCAGATTGAAGACTTATTAATACTGAGTATTTATTTTGAGATATTAATTTTGGAATCTTAGGTTTCTCTTTCAGATGTAGAGCACAGTGATCCAGAAGCCACAGATGGGCATCTTGTATATATTTGTAAATATTTTGTATTGCTTTAATGGACTAGAACTTACAGGTGGGTAACTTTTTCTAAATTAGTTCAGTAGCTGTGATTTTGAGCACTTGATTTACATTGTGTAACTGTTTACTTCAAGTAAATAAACTTTAGTTTTGCACTGGCTTCTCCGTGTGTCAAGTATGAGACCTGTGTTGGGTAGTAAGTTGACTGTCCTCTCTGCGGTTATTTCCAGTTCTAGCTTTCAGTTACTCTACTGTTACCACAAAGTGCAACAGAAGTTAATTTCGGCATCATTCTGAAAGTGGAGCCTTTACACTGGAATCGTTCTGAATTCAGTGCTGGCTTGTGTTTTCATGGAGGTTGCTTTAAAAATGGCTTTTAAGGGCTTGCTGTGTAAGGCAGTAGGCAAATTGTGACGTTATCGGAGGAGGCTGTGGGTGTTGAGAGCTCTGGAATTCTGCAGCACAGTGTGCTTAGCTCCAGGGCTTGCCATGACCTTTATGAAGAAAAGCATTGCAAGTAAGTTGTTGCATTGTTTTGGGGACAATTTTTTGTAAAAATAAATGGTTAGTAAAATAAACTGACTTCTGCTCCTCCAGTGTGGAAGCTTCTTTAAGAAACTACTAACTTGCCAAGACAAGGCTGGCGAATGTACTGAGGATGATGTTATTTTCTGGCAACTTGGAAGTTAATGCTCGGGTAGTTGCAGGGAGGACGGGGGGTTCTGCTGCTTGGGTGGGGGGACAGCTTGGAACCCCAGGCTCAGGCACCTGCCAGACAGCTGGGGGGGGCTGCTTTGTCACAGAAGGGTCAGGCATGTTCCTCAGGCATTCTGTCATCTTGCTAAAGAAACGTTTTCAGGGACTTTGCTACTGGACAACACAGACAAGCTTTATTCTCCATGGAGTGATAAGAGCTTGTTTATTTAAACACGAAATTGCACAAGGTGGTTACTTCCGCGAGTTAAAGCTAGATACAGCTAAAGTTGTTATGGAAACTACTTCTATTGCATTAAATGTACTATTGATTTTACACATTAATGAGATCTACAAAGTAATTTTTTTGGATACCACTTAAAATTGCCTGCAAAATCTGTATAGCAAACTCTAATAGACACAGGGCTGTTGTGTGCTTTGCTGGAGATGACCGCTCAGACAGCTGTTCCTCTCTCCAAGTTCTGTTTAATCTCAGCTGTGTACTTCCCGTAGAACCTCTCTGCCTTCTTATTGAACTTGGCGTTGCGCTCGTTAATGTAGTCGATGTCTGCATCGTCGTTGTAGGGACGCCGTCGACTGTACTTTTCACGCTTTTCAATTCTGGAAGAGAAACGGCAGCGTGGGAAGATCTGTGGGTGAATCCCATGGATCTGATCCCACAAAGCTGCTCTGTCATTTCATCTTGGTGTTTACTTACTGCTTTTCGAGATCCGCAACCATTCTGTCAACCCCTTCCTTGGACGGCACGTGGGATCCATGCAGAAGACTGTTGGATGTGGGATAAAGCGCTTCACCACTAGACAAGAAAAGCAGATAGGCAGCAGTTCAAACGAGTGATTGCTTTGAGATTTCACTGCTGATGGTTTTTTTTTTAATGTAGCACTTCAAGGCACTTAACTCATATTTGAACTGTGGGAGTCCAAGATTCAGGTGAGAAGGTGTCAATATTAAAGACAAGCTCTGTTAATTATTTTAAGAGACACTAGCACATGCTTACAGAAGATCCAGGAACCCTGTGCTAAAATTCTAAATCCATCTGAATGCAAATGTGGGAAGGTCTCATCTGTTGGTCAGTCTGTTCTTAAACCACGTCAGGTTTTAAGATCATGTTAAAAAACTAATT